GATATTGCTATGCGCACATCTCGCCACGCGCTCGAATTGGGCGGTAGGCCGGCCTAAGACAACGATTTTTAATAATTAATTACTCGTTAACTATTGCAAAATGGTACAGGACTTTTCCGTTCATCTCGATCCGTTCTATCTTCTCAAAAATTTTGTCGGATATGGAAAGACTCACCCTGTATATTTCAAGCTATTGATTAAAAGTTTAACGAAACGAAATAGTGTACTTGCTATGGCTTCTACTTTTGACGTAAAGAATTTAGATGCCGCTTGACAAATATAAAAAAAATCGAGTCATGTTTTACATCAAATTGCTTTTTTTTTATTCTGACATATTGATATTATCTCCCTCTGCATTGATAGCATCTTTCTTGCACGCGCCACTTTATATTTGAACAAGAATATTAATCTTTACGTGTAAAATCGCTGCTGTACGGAAGTTAGGTGCGCGTTGTTATACGAAATGTGCATTATGTTGACGCAAGTGAATCGCGCGGCTTTGATCCCTGAAACTAAATAATACCGTTTACACAGACTTCAAAGTGAATCGTAGCCCAGCATAAATACATTTGTGTAATCTCGACAAAACGATCCCCGCGTTTTTGCCAAGAGTATTTTGGGACGGAAATTCGAACGTAAATGCGAAATTAAATTTAAAAAAATATATATACCGAATCGAAAAGTGTTTTTCCGTTCTCCTCGATATGATTTTGCAAAAAGAATGAAGATTTGCAATGGGACGCTATATTCAATACTATTATACATCGACGCAAATGAAAACGGTGCATTGTAATGGAAATGTTTCGCGGTAATATTTTCAGTTCGTTGAGCAAAATTGTTTTAAAACAGTTAGAGTGTACACAAAAATATTTTTTTTCATGTTTAGCGATGAGACGCGATTTTTTCGACGATTCGTTTCGCTACAGACGGAAAAACTACCGCTTTGTACGCAATGTTGTACGGACGAGCAAAACCGACTATTTATTCGATCAAACCCTGTGAAATGAATCAGCTGAATCAATATGTACAAACAAGATGTAAATGGTACCTCAAAGTACAATAAATTAGTGTGTGACGATCTGTCAATATATCGCATGCTTGTTTTCTACAGTTGTTAATTTTATTGTCGGAGACACGGAGATTCGTTACTATTTACAACGTAACGTATGCTGCAATATACAGAAGTCATCCCATTTCCTCGCTCCATTTCCGCGAGATATGTGTACAGTAATACTTTCTGTAGAAAATTAGAAAGATTGCGCTAACTAAACTAAAAACCTCGTTTCTCAGCTAAATGCAGAATCTTATCTACCTACATATTTAAAGATGAAATCGTTGCAGATGCTTGTTTTAATTTGGCTTTTATAATATAGTTTTATTTAAAAAATTGCTATTAAAAACATATTATAAACAGCATTTGTTTCTTGATTGTTTCAGGTGAGTTTGGCATTATTCAATTACACTCTAAATATGGTTCATCGTACCGTAAGTTGTATTGATTTCTATTTTAATCATTACGATGTTACGATTATTGCATGGCGCCGAGTTTTGTGGTTGATAAGAGAGATCTCTGTTCTTCTTATCAGTAGCATTATGTCGGTACGGCAGACATCTGAATGATAGTGCATAGTATCGACGGTTACATTCTCTTATCAACCGTGGTGACTGTAGTTGATGACAAATGGATATACAGTGAAGTTCTTCGGAACGATTATAACAACTTTTGACATAAAGCGCAAATGTTTTTTTAAATAATATTTAAATCATGTGCTCCTTTAAATATGAATGTCGGATATCGGTAATATTGCTCGTAAAAGGGATAATAATTAACGCAAGGTAATGGAAGCGAGCCAGAAATTTTATTGAAAGCTTCAAACGGTAATGTCCATTTCTTGCGTATCACCGTGGACTTATCTCGTTCCCGTATCTTACACGAAAACGTTATTACACGATAGCTTATCAAACGTTATCATTTATAGGACGAGTAGATATTTTACTCACATTATAGAGAAAGAGAGAGACTTTACCAATAATAATTTCTAATTATTATACTTAAAAGTTGGTTGTGAAAATTTTATTTTATAAATTTACAAACTATTTTACGTATCAAATAATACGTAAATTACGTAAAAAAAAACTATGTAGCATTACTTTATTACACTACAGGAAATTTGTTCTTCCATCATTTTTATCATAATTAAAATTAATAAATAACTACGTGTGAATTTATCAAATTTAAATCAATAATAAATTAATGTGGTTCTTAATATCTGTAAGTATAATTATTTCTAATTGTTAAAACACGATGATAGTGCGTGTATTTACATATTTAAATTTTGTAACTTACAATATTGTATGTAATTTTATTTTATTTTATGCATTTACAAAAGTAATTGAAGATTTGTGCTTCAATTGGTAGAAAGATAAAAATGTAAAGATAATTGAAATATTTTGTCTGATGGAACCAAGTTTTCTGTTCGATGTTCTTTATTCTGACTACATAGAAAAATCGATTTGCGCTTTGTTTAGTCACAAAGCTCTGATTTGCGTCCAGCTTGCAAGCATCGTGTGACGCGAAAGAAACTTTGTGACGTCATTCCTCCCACCTTGCAAAATGCTGCTATAGTCAATTGCATCGATTTCATTGTATGTGCTTGCAGGGACACTTCCATTTTGATTCCACAGGGGGATGGGTGACACATGTTATTTTTCTGACCTTTTTATTTAATCTCGCTTTATCGAGAAGTCCGTAACTTAGGCAAATTTCTACGAACGTTGTAATTTCATGTTTGACGACAAAGGCAAAAAAAATTTCTCTTAAAAAAAACTTATAGACGTTCTGACAAAAAGAATATCACGCGTAATATTGCGCTTTTGAGACGCAGCTCCTTGAAATTGTTAATATTATTCAGACCTCGGTTTCGCATTTCACATTTTTACACACTTCTATTCTTAGATTAATTGGTACGGTAATTCTTTTTTTTTATTATATAGGTAGGAGATTAATGAAGTACTCTTTTTTAACTTTTTTAATTTTATTCGATAAGATTTACAAAGGGCACATCTAAATTATGGGACTAGAGAGAAATGTCGGGTTTTGTTTTAGAAAATACTATAAAACAATCGTGTATCGAAACACTGATGTTGAGAACATATTGATCAAAAAATTTGTAGTAGAAGGAAGATAACTGTTCAGATCTCTGGTAATTATTATTAACATCAATTATTAACATAATTATTTAACAAAAAGATGTAACACATTAGAGAATATTAGGGATCTGAATAATTATCTCAAGTGATAGAGAGCCGTGGTACAATCGCATAACTGTAATTAACATAATACAGCTAAATAACGACTCTGTGAGTACGGTAGAAAAATAGAAATTTATTCGACAACGTACATAACACAATTAGTATTTTGCACGTTCGATCCGTGAATGAGGTTCGAGAAGCGCCTTAAAAGACACACGTCCAATCGAGTTGTTAGCTTGAGAGTTTACCACTTCTTGAACGGTGCCGAATGTATGTATCCGCCATCGAGAGCGTCGTGGTTCGCTATGATCGGGCCGGTGGCTCCCAGAGCCGGGGCCACGCCGCTGAATCCAACATGTTCGATGCCGCTGCCAAGGTGTTCCACACCGCTTGAGATGACGCCGCCGTCCACCAAGTGGCCGGTGCTAAAACCGGTGCCCAGTCCGGTGGCCAGTCCAGTGCCAGATACTAGAGTCGCACCCGAGATTGGGACTCCCACACTGCCGGCTCCGACGTATTCGTGTCCGGCTGCGATTCCAGACGCGATGCCAACGGTTGACGGTATGACGGCCGACGATACACCGAGGGTCGACGGTATACCGATGGTTGACGGTACACCGATGGTCGACGGTACACCGAGGGTCGACGGTATAACGCCGACGGTCGATGGGATGACGCTAACTTGTGGCACGGAGACCGGAACATGTTTCGTGACAGAGAATGGAACGGCTACCGGGTGCGCTACTGGAACTGGCACGGGCTGTGGCACGCGTACTTCGACGGGCTGTGGTACCGGTACCGGATAGGGACGGTCGACCTTTACGGGCACGTGGCGAGTGACTGGGATGGGTACTGGTTGCGCCACTGGGACGGGATAGGGACGATCGACTTTGACGGGTACGGGATGTGGGACGGGCACGTGTTTGGTCACTTCGACGGGGACTGGCTGCGGCACCGGCACCGGCACTTGGACCTCGCGGTGCACAGTGAGGCCGGTGATGCGCTCGGTTTTGGCGTGCGCAACGCTGGGAATAGCAATGCCACCGATGCCGTATGCGGCGGTATGATGAGCACCATCGATGACGGGGCTGCCGTAGTAACCTCCGTAAGCACCTCCGTAACCTCCGTAACCTCCGTAAGCACCTCCGTAACCGTATCCCAGCCCGGAACCGTAGGCGGAAGCCAGGCTGTTACCCACGGTGATTCCTGAGAGTCCAGACCCGATTATCTTCGTGCCGTATTTAGCCGGGTATGCACCCAGGCCGTAACCGTAACCGCCGTAACCGCCATAACCGCCGTAACCGCTGTAGCCTAGACCATAGCCGCCTAGACCATAGCCGCCTAGACCATAGCCGCTTAGACCATAGCCGCCTAGACCATAGCCGCCGCCTAGACCGTAGGTTGAGATACCGCCTAGACCGTAGCCGAGATCACCTGTCAATAGACTCCGTTTGTCATGTTTCTTCGGCTCTTCCTTATTTTCAGCGGCCAACACAGCGGTTGCCAACAGCACAATCTACACATTTTTAAGGAAGAAAAAACAATAGATTAATACACTTCTAAAAGTATTATTAATTTTTTTTTAATTAAAGGTGCGGCGTCCGAATTGGGCAGAAAGCTCAACAGACATTGTTTTTATGTATAATTTTTAATTTTATTTCATCTTAGTGCTCGTCGTTGCTGCTAATTAACATAATTAGATAATCTAATATTTTTATGGCTACATAACTCTTTTAGAGCATGTGCGTAGTACAGTTTATGAAATGACTATACAATTTCATCTATGAGAATAAAGCGAGCTCTAGCATTTCTGAAGCAACTGAATAATGATACGAGATATTATTAAAGTGTAGATAAGTACGGCAGTGAATAATCGCCTTTGTGCACCAGTCTGCGCGTACGCATTAGAAATTGCCTTCCACTTACCGCGAAGCACCTCATTGTATCTTGTGGTAGTTTTGGATCGAGTGTGCCATCAGTCCGGTCAGTCGGCGTTTTTATACGAAATGCTCAGTTCACGATGTATGCGATTACTTTCACTGAAGCGACAAGGAACACGCCCTGCTCCGCGATCCGCGCACCTCCCAATTATTTTTTCTGCGACCGGTCGGTCGGTTGGTCGTTCGGTTGGTCCATCCCGATTCTCCGATCTGACGTAACAGCCAACGCCGCCGTGGCAAACTTGCTCTCGAAACGGGTCCGATTCCGCATTATTACGCGGGCTGTTACGTGCGTAATTGTCTACACCGGCGTGTATATCAGTATAACACCACTTCGTTTCCTCGTTTAATTCTTTTTGCAAAGGGCTAACTTTTACCAGTCGGTGCGCGATACAACGCTCGCGGCAAGTGTCCAAAATCAGGGCCGATCGATGTGGTAACGTAACGCTGGACCCGCAGCAAAAGAGCGATACAATTTTTCCCAACGAATGGATACATAGATATTACACAACATGATATATTGAGGATCGTTCCTTCTGCTCCTCTGTAGATTTTTTTTTACGCGGAATAATAGTCGACCTAATTGCAAGCTATAAAGCGTAATTCAATATTCATCATTTTAAAGGGGAAGTGGGGATTGGATTTAAACAATTTTATTTAAGATTCTAAGAGGATTTTGTTTTACAAGATTTTAAAATTGGACACTCTCCTTATCACTTGTTAATCTCTTTCTTATTCATAGAGAGAATCTTTGTTAACTAAATTAATAATATTTATTTAAATTGCAATTAAATGGTATATTAAAGCGGTTCTTAATTTCAAAATCTTATAACTTGATGTTTCACGTATATAAAACGGCACCTGATTTACATATTTTCGAGGTCCCAATCAATTCTTTTTAAATACGTATCTACGTCACACAAAGCCGGCATATGTATACATATAGATATATGCATATATTGTGTATAGAAACGTGACAAATTCAAGACATTATCCATTTTAATAGTGATTATTTTTGCGATTCGACGGAATATAAATTGCTTGATTCTCGCATACAACCGGAACTCGGAGAAGTTGTCCGAGCCTTCTAAAATATTTATTAGTGCCGTATTCTGCAAACATTTATTATCGTGTTGCGATGCGACGACAGACACGTAGCTGGAAAATGCCATGGACAAAAATCGAGTTACCCTTTAACGAGAAATTAACAGGTTTTTCACTGGTTGTTTTTCACATTTCGCGTATACTTCGCATTGGTGAATAAAAATTTACGATGTCTAATTTTCACTTGACAGAGATCGACGCGACAGCGTTTCTATTTTGCACCAAAAAATGGTTGCGAAATAACTAGCTGTTTTTAAAAGTCAGCCACGGGGTATTTTCTCATATTGCACAATTCGGTATAAACCGTATTTCCATAGTGCAACATGGATCTACACGTCGCGAAATAATTCGCAGCTCGGAGATTTGTAACCGTATAGATTTTCGTCTTAAGAATTGCCTCGACTAAGATGCCCGTCCCGCCGCACGCATCGCGCCGATTTTCAGAAAGTGCTTTATATTCATGATGCGCATTTCCGCGAAGATGCGCTTTATTGAAATTGCACGACGGGGTGTGCCGCAGATGTAAATTGTATCGTAACGTTGCCATCTACCGCGTCTCACCACAGGAGTATTCGGCATTTGCAGATTGTTTTTGCTCGCGCGTGGAATTCCGTAAAAGGAAACAATTAAGACATTCGAGACTCCGCCCGACGATTTTATTTTATTTTATTTTTTTGCGACTCTACGCGCCGAGTGCAAACGATGTAACGAAAATGCCAACTTAGAGTTCGGCTGTCGAAATAAAATACTGGTTTTTACCCCACGAGGGCGAATTTATTTTAATTTATAGAAAACAATATATCACACTTGTCCTATAAATAAGCCAACTGCTAATGCTAATGATGTTTGTCGCGTTAACAGATTTTATTGGCTTTTTTTTATTGTTCCTTTGCGCGATGTGAATAGCGCATTAATTCTTCTCATTAATTTTTTACTGGGCCACGTCGATACTGATCGCGTTTAGCCTGTGGTTTGAGAGAATTCGCGTATTGCAAAGAAATGACGATATTCTGCAACGGCTACGAAATATTATTCCGCGATTTTAGCACTTCCATATGTATAATATAATCCCCCCCCTTTCGCGCGGCGATAAAATTTTCACATTGCCTACTTTGGATGCTGCGAACCGCAAGGTAGGAGACGAAGGAAAGAGAAGCGCGTTACTACGGAAAAATACGAGGACGATAAAATAGGAGCGCCCTATTCCTGTGCTGTCTCTTCTCCCGAACCGCCCCCTGATTTCCTACGGGAATCCCGGCGAAGTTTATGACACCGACCGATCGTCGATGGCTCAATCGATTTTGCCGGTAGCCCTTTAACGCGGGTTATTGCCCTCCTATTTTATCTCGGTAGCTTCGGTCGCCTTAAGTAAGCTCGTTATCTAAGAGTACGAGAGCGAGGTACTTGAGGTACTTTTCGTCAAAAGGCTTTTAATAATTTATTCCTGAGAAAATAATATTCTTCCATTAAGTGTAAATTTTACTGCCTTGCGCGAAATGGCTTCGAACCAATAGCAATAATTGAATTTCGTTAGTTTTCAGAGAAATGACGGTTTTAAATAATTTAGAAAAAAGAAATACTGCAATCGCGGACGGTGCTTACGGTATATTTAAATTACTTTAATAATGAAATATGAATTTATTTAAATTGAAAGAATAAATCACAGAGTTTTGCATATTTAAACATCATCAATTATAAATTTCAACATTAATAATCGTTGGGATTATTTTTACGATATGTTATTTACGTTCAGTCTTTTTTCATTCACGGTTTAGACGGTTGACAATTAAAACATGTAGAATAATGCCTTTTGTACGCACATGTGAAAACATTGCTCAATTTAACACCTTAATTGTATAAGCGTTATACATAAAAATATATTTGAAAAATGCAAATATTTAATACATATATGACTTGGTGCAATGATTTGATGTCTTGTTGCACTCCTCGTATTTGCTATTTACACATATGAAGTATTGTCGCAAAAAATATCGAATAATTCACTATCTATTTGCAAGATATAATATACATAATAAATATTATACGTTTACATTAGCTGGACATCAGTCTCGATTCGGCTTTAATTGAATAAATAGGCGTTTATGTATTGCTTGCTAATTTTTGCGCGAAAATTGACATGCAGGAAATACACAATGGACACGATGTCGACGTTACAGGATTGAAAGGGGTTGAATCACCCTTTTAGCATCGGCCGATTGGATGGAATCGTGGATGCATTAACAATAGGTGTATAACGTAATAGTCGGGGCTCATGAATATGAAAATTTCTCGCCGCTGGCCATTTTGATTAACAATCGCGATAGGACAAGTTTCGGCATTACGACTGCGCGATACAGCGCCGGGCAAGTGCAATAGTATTCGATTCACACAGTCTCGTCGAATCGCGGAATGAATAATTCGTCCGCGATCGATCGCGTAAAATGGTAGTTCTTGAATATCGCAGGAGACCCGCAGCCGTAATTCTCCATCGTATTCTCGATCGCGCATATTATAAAAGATCGAACGTGCAGATCACTCTCGAGGGTGCAATATCCTGTAAATCGGCAAAGCATTACGCGATTAGCGTAGAATAATGATAAAACTACGCGATATACGCGAAGTAAAGAAGATAACTTGTAGTTGTCCCCTTTTTAATTTTCTTTTTTATGTACATATAAATATTTGACTGCCTTTTCTTTCTCTCTCTTTTGGTGCATCTTGAGGAGCTGTCACTAAAGAAAATATGATGCCGTTATTGAAATTTTACATTCTCGTATACATATTTATTCGATGATATGGGCCTTCGTAAAAATGTATTTTTTATACGTTACAAATGCATCGAATTGCACGAGCGATTGTCGTAAATCTGTCGCGACGGTCGCGATAAAAAGAAATTCCACCGAAGAAAGAGGTACTGGCGAACGTTTCCTCGAGGAAAACGGGAAGCAGAGAAATACCACCTCTTGCAGCAAAAGATTGACGAGATTCTACCGGTTGTGTCATTGTGCAAGCTCTCGATCTTTCGGTTCCGGTCCCGTATTCAAAAGTAAAACGATTGAAAGGTAGACGTTACCTAACGGTATGCAACTGAGCCGGTTTGTTACCACGTGCGTTCGCCCCTTTCCTCTCAGAAGCGTAATGAGTCATTTCGAAATTGCAAGTGTAAGCGTTTTCTGTTACGTCGTTGCAGTCGAAGTTCAGGGTATGCATTACGCAAACAAACCTTCGTGAAATCGTGCAAAGAGTTCGTCGTTCGTTTTATCGCTCAGGTTGTTATCGAAAAGAAGCTACTAATAACGGTACGAGAGTACATTGTTGTAATATTCTAGTAAAAATATTATATTTATATACGCGTATAATACACGGATAGAAAAAGAAATGTAGCTGTAGTAGCTAAAAACTGCACGTGGTAAATAAATTTCAGTTGTAAAATATGGACAGCTAATATTTAGTTGCGACAGCTAAATGTTTTGCTACTGTGCCTATTGCATTAGGTGCGACAGCAAGCCATAATTAGCTACGGTAGCAAAAAAATGTTTTTAGTGTGTAGTAAAGATATAACATTTTAATAGCAATAGTTTTTTAAAATGACTTTTAAACTTTGCTCTGCAAATGTTGTCCTATTCCACCGCGATGTCTTGCGCTGCAGTAAATTATATCTGGACTCGAAATGAGTTGAACATTTCGTTTTTACGTTTCACAAAGAAGTTTCTCTAGAAAAACGAGTTGGCCTTTACGCCAAATAAGATATTATGCACCGGTGCGAAGCTAAAATGATGTACAGCACATACGCTGTACCATGCGAGAAAAGAGATTGTAGGATCAAAAGTAGTGCAAAATACACGGCGCTTATTCGGCGCAATGAATATTTTGGAATTTATACGAGATATCCGTGGAAAATGTGGTTGCGATATGCAGTAAATA